CCAGATATGCAGCGGTTCCAGAAACACCCGCTAGCATGGTGTCCATCAACTGTTGGAAGATGGCTGGCGCTGTTTTCACACCAAATGGCAAGCGGTTGTATTGGAATAACCCACGATGAGTGTTGATCGTCAACAACTCCCTCGAGACTTCGTCAACATCCACTTGCAGATAAGCGTCGGATAGATCAAGCTTAGCAAAGTACTTACCACCATTCAACTTTGCAAAGATATCCTCCGGCACAGGTAAGGGGTACTGGTGGTCATCCAGCGCGGCGTTGAGGCCAGTTGAAAAATCAGCGCGGACGCGTACCTTGCCATTTGCTTTCTTTACTGCGACAATAGGTGCGGCCCATGATGAGTAGTTGACGGCTGTGATGACGCCGGCACGTTCCAGTCGATCGAGCTCTTGCTCAACGGTTGACATGGCTGCATATGGTACCGGTCTTTTAGCCTTGAACACTGGTTTAGCGCCTGGTCGCAAGTTCAGAGTTGCCTTGAATTTCGTACAGTGGCCCAAGCCATCCTGAAAGACAGAGGCAAATTTTCGCTTCAGGGCACGTGTCATGTCTTCAACGGACTTTGCCGATGGGTCTGGACTTGCTCGAACTCGGTTGCAGATCTGATTCAAGGGAACATCGAGGAGGTTCAACTTTTCAATCCAGTCGAGGCCAAGAAGATTCAAATTCGGCCGATCCGAAATGTAGCATGTTCCCAACTTCTCCACACCCTGGAAAGCAATCTTGCAATTGAGTTCGCCGACCAAGTTTAACACACCGCCGGATGCATTATGTGCAACTTCCTGGGAGTCGACCATCTTCGGCCTCTTTATGTGATTCCATGTGCGCCTGGAAATGATTGTGATGTCTGAGGTCGTGTCAAATTGCAGTTTCGTTGGGATACTATTGATTAATACAGAGATGAATCGTCGTCTCGGTTTACACTTGCTTTGGAATGCGGCGACTATGGAGAGAGATTCAGCGCTGCCCCTTCTAGAATTAACCCGTTCGATTTACTGGTGGAAACTTTCAACCTGCCGAAGGTAACAGTGGACGACTGCCCAAGGTCGAGCAACGGATCCAGAACAAGAACATCGGAACAAAGTTCTCGGGCGCTTCTGCCAAGTTTAGTGGTTCCCCATTTCTTTTGCAGAGATGTCAGGTGGCTTTTGATCACGTGTAGAAGAAGAACCTTCAGGAACGTTCGAAATCGATGCGATAATCGTTAATAATCGATTAATCGCTAAAATAGGGAATTTCCAAGGCAATTCTTACTTTCTCCCGGACACCTCCCCTCCTGAGATATGTTCCGAGTTGTAAGAGGAAAGCCTGGGATCAACTTGCAGTCTTCGGGACGGTGTTCTCTGCCTGTCGGTCCACCTCCTTGGCAGAAGCGCCCGAGAACTTTGTTCCGATGTTCTTGTTCTGGATTCGTTGCTCGACCTGGGGCAGTCATCCACTGTTACCTTCGGCAGGTTGAAAGTTTCCACCAGTAAATCGAACGGGAGGTCAGTAGGCATTTCTTGTTCTGGCTGACACAATGTAGGCCGTAACTGGTTTGCATGCCTCGGCCAGACCTGTGCGCCCACCTTCACGTCATACATGACGTTTCCGCGCTTGCTTTTGACCGTCCCTGGCGTCCATTTCGCATGGCCTTCCCGGTAGTCACGTACTAGCACCTTCTGTCCAAGCGTGAATGATCGCTTCTTTGCTCCATGCCGCCGGTTAAACTCCTGTTCCATTCTGCGGTTTCTTTCACCAACAGAGGACTCCGAGCCCGGTCGGATGGCGTCGAAAGGCATGCGGAGCTTCCGGTACATCATAACCTGTGCTGGAGAGACTCCGTCTGGTGCTTGTGGATTCGGTATTGATCGGTAGAGGAAATGGAACCGGTCAACCATTTTTATAAAATCCACCTTAGTCCACTTGGGTCTGCGACCATGGCGGTTCGGGCTTCTGCCAAGACATCAGTGTCGTCCGTGCTGGTAACTGGTAAAGACATTAGAACTAAGAACAGGTACGACCAATATTGCAGAAAGTAACATTCGTTACCGAACTCACATGACTTAGTGACTCTTTGAGCAAATCTAACTTCGTAATCCGGTTGGTTCCGTGCAGCTTAACATTGGTACAGTATACTGGGTAGATTTTTCCATAGTGTAGCAAATCATTGAGTCTGCGTTCACAGGCGATTCTTCCTTTCAGCTGCAGAGGTTCCTCTGAAACTTTTTGAACCGTTAGAATTGTAGGTTTGACTGATGATGTGCCAAGTCTTGCCCGGGTTCCACGAGAAAGGCTCTTGAGAGCATGCAACGTTTCTGGCAGCAGCGATATCAGGATATTGTTGCGTTTCACTGTGGGGTATTTCCTCTTCCCTGAAAAGTGTGTACGAAATACTGCAAAAGCCGTCTCTCTCACTGTGCCGCGATACCTGTTTCTTTTGAATTTGGAACTCGCTTGTAACCTTGGAGTATACGCGCATCTGAATTGGTGCGCCTTTTGACAATGATGATTTTTGTGGGCGCAATTTCTCACAGAAAGTCTCCCATCACCGTTCCATAATGTAGTCGGGGCTTCCGGTTCGGCAAATTTCCATTCACATTTTGGCCACAAATGACTGTATGACAGGGCTGGGGTTCTTCTCTGTGGTCTGAAGTTGCAACCATTTCTGGGTGAAAATTCAAACTGAGCAGCTTGTGGTGTTCAAATACAATTTCCTGGGATGTTAACCTCGGTTCCGGTTCCCATTCCACTTGAATGTTGAGTTTTTCTGATAACAACTGAATTAACTGCCGCTGTGATTTTTCAAACTGAAGCTGCCGCTGCTGAAGTAGGGACTGCATCTGCTCAAATGAAATGGTTATGATTGTTCAACACCTCCGTCGCCACTGTTGTAATGCTTCTTCTTTCACTGTTGTAACGCTTCTTTCTTTACCTCTACTCTAGACCACTGACGACTGTGGTACTGCTGCTAGCTGCCCCTTGAGACTGCGACTGTCTGACTGCTCAGTCACGCGCCCAGCCCACCAACGGAATACAGAAGACCAAGGTTCGGTAGACGGAGAGACTTATTGTATGAGAGCAAGGCCCAATAAATAGGTTGCGAGCAACTACTTAAACAACAATATTGGAGATGCGAATTGGCATTAATTAACACAACTCAAATGGTTCAAGTTCGTGATCCGACCTGCCTCTGATTCCGCATCAATTCGCATTTTGATCTATAGTCGAGTTCGATCTCTAATTGCAGATCGACGCACTTTTACGGCACTGCTCTCGGCTTGATTGCTAGCTGTCAGCTCTCTCCGTAACAGAATATACGAGGCAAAGTCGGCGAACAGCGACTTCTCGGATAGGCTGAAGGCGGGGCATGAATGTAACACCGAGCGAAAGGACAATGTGTGATACGCGGTGATCGAGTAATGTACTCTATACATGTGCGTTTGCGTGCTAACCTGTGAACCCGTTGTGTGTTGACAATAAAGCCTGTGCTTCCATACCGATCATTTTCGCCACAATATGACTTGGAACAGACTGATCCAGTAGGCTCAAGTGTAAAGTATGCCTGCTCACAGCTTACCTAGGACAGCCTTGGTTCATTTACTGCATGCAAAGCGGTTAAGGTTAAAGAACTGAAAAAGTTAACGTACTAATGGGGAATGCTAACAGATAATTAAAATGGACGCCGTTTATCAGTCAAACTATGCTAGCTGGAGTCAAAGCGACCCCTGTATTGTTGGCTTGAGAAAATAAGGAAATTGCTCCTTGCCGGTGTCAGTAATGTGTCTAACATCGGCTGCTTCTCGGATTGCTCTATAGAGTTGTGGCTGAAGCTACAATAGCTGCAGTATAATGAGGAAGACATCCGCATTATGCCAAAACATTGTACTGGCGTATCTTTGCCATGCGACCACCAACGGTCGCGGGAGGACTGGATATACCGCGACGTCGCCTGTACCTGCACGGATCCGAATTCGTGACCTGTGGATTACAAGTCAAGCGTGTAATAGTTCTACACGGTATTAGATAGCCGCAACGGATGAAGGGTGCGGCACGGTTTAGAGACGCGAGTTGGGCCCAAAGTATGTCTCACAGAAAGCCGACTGATTCAGTTCGTCCTCCACGACACAAGTTGTTGCACGATAGGGGGCAGCTGACGGTGCCAGTTCGTCATCGTGGCGCAGGTTGCTACGGCGCAGGTGTGAACGTGGCTACAGCCAGACAATGGATATCGCCTCCGATAAACCAGCTTCTATGAACAGCCTAGAAGTACACAGAGAATTGATCAGGCTACAGGTGAGCAAACTAACTGGTCAGCATAAGTTGTTTCGTGTGGTTCTCAAGGGGTATGCAGAGTACCTGGCAGAGTCCCTCGCCGACTAGTACACGTTGTGCTTCAAGTAGGACAAGATAGCTGACGTTTGGCGAAGCGCAAGCACCACGCCAGTGCCAAAGAAAGGAACCTGCCAATATCGGCGGATCGTATGCACGTCAGTTGCTTATTCTTAAATGCATCTCTCAGCACAGACACATTTGGATGACCCTCATCAGATTGCAGTCCGCAGCTAAAGATCCACTTTAGATGCGGTAGCAGGCTTGGTACATACTGTGCCCTCGTTACTGGATAATACAAACCTATCCAGCCGCATCTGCTTCCTGGATTATAGTAACGCTTTCGGTTGTGTAAACCGTGAACTATTGTTGCGCGATCTACTTGGTTCCGGAGTCCAAGCTTTTTTATTTTTCCGTTTTGTGGGCCGTGCTACTCTATGCTAGTGAGACTTGGCCTGTTTGGTCTGAAGATCTGAGGACACTTCAAGTTTTCGAGCATTGCTGCCTGCGGAGCATTGCTATTGTCGGGTGGCACCATCGTGGCCGCAAAGATGATGTGCGTGGGTGAGTACTAGGTAATGATACCCAAGCTAGTTACTTAGAACAACAAATAGCAATGAATAAGCTGCATTGGGTTGGGCACGTACTAGGTATGTTCGGGTCACCGATTACCTAGGAGAGCCATGTTTCGTTTGCCAGATGTAGGATGGCGTAAGGCTCGAGGTGGATAAAAGTTAGTTGGCAGCGGGAAATGTAGTCAATGACGACCAAACTCGGTGCCGTCAGTCCGTCTCGCCTTCCAGGCTGGAGTCCATATGATTCCCCTTGTGCTTGGCTTCATACGTTACAGGACATGGCTCTCAGTCGACATCAGTGACATGTTTGCTGTCCTCTCCTAGTCGGGTTGCGTATTTAATGTGTGTTTGGTGCAGAGTTCTCTGCCAGGTAATGGCTGATTATGACGCGGGGCTGTGAAAGCCACAAGAAAGTTGTCTCGCTGGTGCCGCCTTATCTTTGCACTATAGCCAGCTGTTCGTGATGGTGTGTTGTTGTCAAGATGTAGCTGCCTTGATCCTCAATGTTTGCTTAGGGTATTACCATTTTCCTGTAAGTCCCCTTTGCTATCACTTATTTTTCTTCCTTCCGTAGGTCTTTATAGTTGTATCGCAGCGAGGCATCAGTGTAAATGGTTGATGTACTGTTGTTGATGAAGATGATGATGAGTCCCTATCAACTCGGTCGATCAATCAGACTCTGGAATCGGCCTCGAAATTAACGTCAGCAAGACGAAGTCCTACTAATCGTTAGCCACCCAGTCCGACCCGTCACTCTCTTTACATGGACAACTTATCGAGTCTGTTCCTGAAGTCAAGTAACTTGGAGCCACTATTTTCCCCACTGGCCGTGCTACATCCGGAACACGGAATCGTATTGACAGCGCCAGAACAGTCTACTTACAACTGAGATACAAATTGTGATGCAGAAAGGAAATTAGTCTGCAAACGAAAATCCGAGTATTTTCAGTAACCATTCGAGCCACGTTACTCTAGTTTTGCGAAACATGGCCGCTATGATCCGAAGACATCCGGAAGCTAAAACTTTTCGACCATTGGTGTCTAAGGCTTATTTTGAAAACGCAGTAGCATGAGCATATCAACAATGACAAAGTCCGCAGGCGCTGTTACGGCCTTCCGAAGCTCACAGCGCACATCCAACGCCTCAGACTTCCATGCCTCAGTCACCTCCTCCGCAGACCAGACACTGACTTCACTAGGGCTGTGGTTTTGCCCTCGTCTTGTCAGGTTAGTGTCGTTGCCGTGGTGGACAACTGGAAAGGTGGCTCGCTGCAGTTAAATCGGATGTCAGTCTTCTGGGACTTCAGGTTGCGCAGTGTGCTCGTAACTGGAGAAAGCATTGAATCATTATCCCACGTGCAGCTTGCAGTTTCAATTCGTGATAATCATGAACCCGGCTCATCCTGGCGCAGGAGCTACGCGCAGTAAAGGAAGTAAAAGGGTTGGCGTGTGATGGCAGTTGGCGAACAACTAAAGCAGCAATAACGGGTACGTGAGAAGGTAAAGCGATGGATTTTCGCAAACGGGTAAGCAGAACGGATCGTGGATGCTTTCAAATGTGCTCTCTGTAAGTAGAAACATGACTAGGTCACACAGGATGCGATCCAGTCTCTTCTGTGTATTTACCGGAATGCGCAAACCCCAAACGCCTCAGATGAAATATCTCCTTCCAAAGTCTTGTTTTGACAAAACATCGGGACAAACATTGACAACCTTACCTCCAAAAATACGGAAAACACAACGAACAAAAAGGTGAGCAGGCAAGCAGGCTCCGTACATTCGAAATTGGTCATCTGGTTTACACACGAAACTCTCAAAGCCTGCTAGGATGGATGTGTTGAATGGTCATTGGTAAGAAAGGGTTACCTACGTAATAACAATCGGAACTAAGAATTGTGTCAGGCAGCCAATCAACTGAGGTCGAATCACGGGAAATCTCGAGATCCCGCCATCTTTACCGTGGGACTTCCTGTTACACACGTTTGGCTTGGAAAACGAGAGCGAGCGGCTATAAGGATGAGGGCAAATGCTGCAAGCAATAGATGGCGCACAAAACAGGCCGATGCGAAAACTCCGACCATCACGATAGCTACCATTTGATCCCAAGGCGAAAACCTAGGGACAGAGTCGGGTTCGAACGGTACGCAAGCAAACAATTCGAAGGGGGAGGTATATATATATATATATATTTATTTATTTATTTATTTATTCACAGTCTGTTAACAGACATTGTGCCATCAGAACCATGGCAGAAGAAAAAGGTGAAGAAGATGGGGACACTAATGTGATTAAAAAATATGGGAAAAGAATTTTTTTGGTTTTACACACGCCATTTTGTATTTTTTGTGTTGTTTTGTGAGTTTTTGTGTGTATCAAAGGGATGGTGAAATTGCGGAACAACATTGCCGCCACTGATGTCTGTTGCGGGCCATGACGTCCAATGTTTCCAACCACTGCAATTCAGCATCTCGTGGTCCCCAACCTGTAAGGCGGACTGGTCCGACTGCTGCCAAACTTGAGGTCGCCTTCTTCATACTCCTTCTCCACGTCATCGGCTGTCCACCGCGGCACTTTTTCCAATCGCTCCCTGGGAGTGCAAATAGCGCTCGACGTGGAAGGCGATGGGCTGGCATGCGCAGAACATGCCCGAGCCAGCGCATGCGATGTCGGAGAATAACGTCTTGAAGACTGGCACTATTCGTCCCAAGCACGCGGTCTCTCACCTCTGCGTTGCTTAAGTGGTGTTGCCACCACACCCTAGCAATCCTTCGTAGACAGCGATTATCAAAGACTGATAGCCGCTTCATATCTTCCGAGCGAATAGGCCGTCTCACAGCCGTACAAGAGTACTGCACGAACGGAAGCATTGTACACCCTGCCCTTGAGCTTGAGAGTGACATCACGACGACGCCATAGATGTCTCAGTTTGATGAATGAAAGGCGGGCCTTTGCAATCCATTGTGAGACTTCATCTCCAACACCGCCACCAGCCGTGATGCAACTCCCTAGGTAAGTGAAGCAAGGGACTTGCTCCAGAACATGTCCAGCAATGGTGAGCGCGGGTTCAGGCACCTGCCAATCCTGGAGCAGCGTTTTACATTTTCCCGGAGTGAAGCACAGGCCGTACTTAGACGCCTCCATCGCCAAGCGGTCCAGAGCGTTCTGGACGGATTGTGGGTCGTCCCCCAGCAAGGCGATATCATCGGCATAGTCCAAGTCCGTGAGTCTGTCTCCAGGAAGAAGCTCAACACCGCAGTCCTGGACACCTTCCAGTGCTCTTTGGAGAACATCTTCGATGGCGAAATTGAAGAGGAAAGGTGAAATAGGGCAACCTTGGCGAACACCGCTGGTCACAACGAATGAAGAGGAGTGCGTGCCGTAAGTCCTAACTTTGCCCGACGTGTGACTGTAAAGTACTTTCAGGATGGTTACAAACATGTCGGGCACACCTTTCTTCAGTAAACAGTTCCACAACGCAGACCTATCTACTGAATCAAATGCCGCTCGGATGTCCAAAAACACTACGATTGTTGGCCGCCGGTGGATGTGACGAAGTTCGAGAACTTGCCGAAGCGTGAAGATTTGGTCGATGCAGCCACGGCCTGGACGAAATCCAGCTTGTTCTTCTCGGGAAAACTCCTCTCTAGTCGTTGAAAGCCTGCCAAGTAGGACCGACACGAAGATTTTGGATGCGACAGAGATTAGGGAGATTCCGCGGTAGTTGCAGCAATCGTCGCGGGAACCCTTCTTGTGAATTGGGACAATGATCGATTCTCCCCATGAGCTCGGAACCTTCTCCTCAGTCCAAACTTTCGTGAACAGCGATAGGATTTCGCCGATAAGTACACTCCCACCATCTTTGAATAGAGCTGGTGGTAGGTTGTCGGGACCCGAAGCTTTGTGGCGTTTCAAAGATTGGACTACATTTCGAATCTCTGCTTCATTTGGGGGGGGCTGTGGAGACAGGAGGCCGCAACAGCTGAACGCCACTACACGGTTTTGAGACATGACTTGGGCCTACGTTAGGTCTAGCAGAAAGCCAACTGACCCAGTTCGTCCTCCACGGCACGGATTTCCGCGCGATACGGGACGGCTGACAGAGTCAGTTCTTCATTGTGGCGCAGATTGCTACGGCGCAGGCGTGAACATCGCTACAGCTAGACAATGGAGGTCGCTAGCGTGTGTGAAACTGTCCAGATAAGTGACGTCAATCCGCCCAGCAACGCACAGTCGGGGATGAATACAGGTGACCGATAAATTTAACCACGCTCTGTCTCTACTACACAACGGTCTAGCATGTCGCGTCTTCTGTTCTTCTCAGGCCGGGTTGGCGGCGTTCCAGACAAAGAGTAGAGTCAGCGCAGTGTAACGACACACGGTTACCAGCTGTTTATTATTGCGTGTTATTGCTAAGGTGCATGCGACTTACCTCTGATCGTTTGCTTCGGGCATTTGGGCTCTGCAACTGGTCTAACCTCGCACCTCCTTTTAAGTTTTCCAAAGTGTATTCTGTTATTATGGCATCAAAGCATAAACTCATCTTTCTGATATATTACTAGCACCACTAGCAATCCTACTACAATTGCATCAACCGCGGCTGTTACTGGACTGCTGTTAGTGGTGTAACGATATTCTTTTAACTAGGAGGGAGAAACCAAGATAAGTGCTTGGACATAAACCGTGCGTTATGTTAAGTACTGGTCTTACTTTGAACACCAGGCATGTCGAAACAGTTCTAAGGCCACCATTTCACCTTTAGGACATACTACTGCATCTGCAAAAAGTAAACAAGCGCTGCTAATCTTTAGCAACTCAGTCCCACGCGTTTATTCACTTTGCCCCATGCTGTGATGCAACCTAATGTAGGCAAGGTCAATTGTCAGTGATAATACTGGATGCCTGCACATCTCGGTGTTGCGCTCTAATAATAGTGATGTGCCAACTGTACGCCGTAACAGCGCTTCGCTGCCACGCGACCAACACCAGTGACGCGGGGGTTGGGTATAGCGCGAGGACGCCCACACTTAGACGGATTCGAACTGGTGACCTTATGCTTGCAAGCCATGCGTGCAGATCACTCGGCCACCGGCCGACGATGTTGTGCTATATATGGTACAGATGTACCACGTGAACATGGTGATTAAAACACCTGTGTTGCAAGTTGTATAACATCAGCAAAATCGTTTGGTTAGTGCATTGCAACCGCTTCCCAGAATTTCACACGCATCAACGAGTATGGCTTTCTCAGAGACGATCTAAACATATCCAAGCACGACGCTGCTAGTTAAATTAACAAACTGTAATCAAGGATAGCAGCACCTTGGGTACCATCAATGCGCGAAATTATTGTTACTTGATAGAAGAAAAAATGATGTTAACGAAACTTACCGATAACTGAGGGCTCTAAATCCACTAGCAAAGCTCTTGGGACAAATTTGTCACGAAGTACCTCACGAAAAACATATTCCCTTCCTGTTTCACAGTCCGTCAGTTCGCTTGGTTCGATTGTCTTTTGTCCACTGCAAGTGATTCCGTGCTCAACACACACGAGCTCCCACAGAGCATGGCTGATTTGTACCCCAGCCTGACCAATATGTAGGGTTACAATCTCCCCTCCCATGTGAGAGTTATTAGGCTTACACTGTTCTTGTCAAACGTCGGTCAAAAAAGGAGTGTTTGGGTTTTCTTGAGGTCTCCGATGTTATAATACACTAAGTATACCGCTTTCGCCCGGTAGTTCCACAGCGGGCAAACAGCCTTGGGCGAGCCGCCGTCTACCATCGATCGCGGGCAGATCGATGGGTTTGAATCTCGTTCTCCCACGCGGGAAACAGATCAAATATGTGCGCACTCTGTATGTTAACTAAGCAATACAAGCCAATATGCATCATGCACAGAAGGTCAGAATGTTCACTACGTAACGGTACGATTTCATTTTAAGCATCAGCGTTCGAGGTACGACTTTAAACCTAGGGAGCTTCCCAGCCCCTACAACATGTTACTTGGGCTGCCTTCCGAACAACCTCCTCGTGGTGCCAGCTGGGTGGTTCGGGTTTATTCCGTTCCAGTATATAGTTCGGCAGCAGTGTCCCAGGACGTGATGTATTTTCGCCTGTAAAGCGCTATCCTTATAGAAAGCAACATATGTCCGTTTAACAACGCTGCGACGTGGCTGATGTGACTCGCCACTAAATAAAGTCCCTGCCCCCTGCCTCACTCAGGTGGAGTACTGTATCAAACAATGGGATGCTCGGATTGTGAGGAGGATTGAGTCCCTATGTGTTAACCGACCAAACGAAAGGCGTATGAAATGAGCAAACAGTCACTGGCTCCCAATGGGCGCGGTTCCTTCAATTCGCCCGGCTACTTTGCGGGCAGGCAATGTTGCCAAACGTTCGGGGTGGTGTCACCAAACTTAACAATCTACTTCGATAGGTATAACTATTACTCTGTGACGTTGGTCCCTGTATTTTCCCTTATCTCCCCCTACCACTTAGGCTCAAGTTCCGTGACGATGCCACTATGGCAGCGAGATGATTCGCCATCCGGTGCACAGATTATAACAGTTACACAGCGCGGAACTAAAGTGATCCACCTTTGAGAACGTGTTCCGATTCGATGTCCGCGAGATCACTAAGCAGGTCACAGTTTGCTACCCAACAGCCTATTTTTCATAGCAACATTCGTTCTCCTAATGATATGCTGCAGCAGTTGAGGACTGGCAAATAGCTAGACCTGGGTAATGCTCGATGTCGCAAACTGGTAACAAAGTTATCGGCCCTGTTACTCTCCTGTTGGCGTTCAGCTTCACGATTAACGATGTAGTTAGCCATATGAAGAGAATAAGCCTCGGTTAAAGCAATTAGGCGATGAACACCGTAATTCTGCAACACAACGATTGGATACCGGATGTCTTGTATCCCAACACGAAGACAAGTGAGTTTTGAAATACGTGTAATCTTATGACCTTCAACTTGTTCTGATCAGGAAGACAGCATCTCGTAAAGAAGTCACATTTTTCTCAAGCAATATATATATATTTACATGGAAATCAAAGAAGGATACAGATGTCATAAAAAGACAACCGAACACAATACAGAGAAAGCCATGATTTCGTCAGAGGGCGAAGTAGAGTTGCGTGTACTCTCCCTTGTGGTAACAATCCAGTGTGTCGTGGTCAGTGCGATAGTGAACACGGGAGCGGGTGTTCAAAGCACGAAATGTTTGACGGTGTCCCGTTAGCTCAGTCAGCAATCGCGATGCAAACGGTCGGAGGACACCGCTTGAAGGTGACAGGGACACAGCGATTGCGAGTGTGACTTAGAAAAACGGACATCAGCCATTCCGCGTTCGTCGTCTAAGCGGCAAAGGAAACATTCATGGGTAACGACATCCTCAAGCGGCACGGTGCTAGGAATGATTTGAGAATGTTGTCATAGTGGGCAGTGAAACGATCGACATGCGCATAGGGAAATGCAACCAGGTAGATGCTGTAACGGTTCCTCCAGATACGGGATGTGCTGCACAAGTACTCGCAGTTGTTCACTGATGCAAATGATGCTTACAGATTCTGAAACTGGGTAGAATACCGGATACCAGAGCAAGCCGATGTTCAGGCGGATACCACAGAACAATCTGACGGAGATACGGAAGCAAGTAACTGAGATGGAGACCGTAGGGATCGTCAGGAGAATAAACATTCCGTATTCATCACCAGTATTGCTGATAAAAATAGCAAACGTAAGCTACAGTTTCCGCATTGATTTCAGAAAGATAAACAGAGTGAGGGTGAAAGGTGCATTTCCGATGCAACAAATGGAAGAGACTTTTTTCCAGTCTTCACAATGCCATGCTGATTTCCCGTGATATATCTCCGTTCTGGATACTGGCAACTTCCCATCGCAGTACAAGACCATCATAAAGCAGCTTTCAGTGTGAATAGCCAGCAGTATGAATTATTGAGAATGCCGTTTGGATTGTGCAACCCCCGGTGACATTCAGACGGTTACTGCTAATGGTCCTGGGGAACTGCCAAAATGTGGTTGTCTATAGAGATGACATCATTATCTTCTCGGAGACGGAACCTGAACACCGTGTACGACTGGCAACCGTACTACTACGACAGGAGGAAGCCGGTTTGAAGCCTAGTCGCAAAAGTCACAGATTGCACAAAAGTTCATGGTGTGTTTAGGCCACAATGTGGGGAATGGCCAAGTTCAGCAGCTTCCAGAGAAACGCGAAACAATCGAGAATTTTGCAGCACCGAAATCTAAACGTCAGCTCAGGTCATTCCTCGGAACACTAGTGTATGATTCGTAATTCGTGTCTATTTTGCGGAAAAGTTCAGTCCATTATTAAAACTGCTGCACGAAAACGAGTCGTTCGCTTGAACACCAGAAGTGGGTCAGATTTTTAACTACCGAAACGAATGCGTTTCAGAGGCGTCAGAATGTTGACGGCTACCCAAGCCTGGTAAAACATATTCACGGTAGCGGTCGATTCAAACAACGTTGCAATCGAAGCGGTGCTGTCCCAACCAGCCAGTGTAATGGAATACGTCGGCAGAGTGCTGATTAGCCCGTAGAAAAATCACTCCACGACGGAGAACAAATGCCTTGTTACGTATGGGCCTTGGAGAAATAGAGAAAATACCTTCTTGCGACTGAATTTCATGCCGGTACTGACTACAAGCCCCTTTCATGGTTAATTCTGACGAGAGATCCGCTGGGACGACTTGCACAGTGAACTTACCGGCTCCAAGAAGTCACCTTTAAAATCGAGCACATAGATGGAACGAAGAATGTGATACCCGACATGTTACCGCGCCCATCTCTGGACGAACTGCTGCCAGATAATGACCTACCGGTGTGTGGCGTCACCGCTGAAGTAGCGAGACCTACTAAAAAGTCAACGTGCGAAAGAGGTTGTTTTGGCCAACCATGAGAAAAAACGTCGCGGCTTATATCGGTGGATGTCCAACCTGTCAAACAAACCGTCAGATAGATACAACAAGACCACCGATGCGATCTATTGAAGTCAACTAACCTTTCCAGTTTTGGGGATTAAACGTATTTGGGCCCTTGCCGGTAAGTCGGACAGGAAACCAGTACATCCTAGGGATGATTGACTATTTCACTCGATAGGTAGAAGCAGTATCGATTAGGGATCAACCAAATGAGACGGTGGCACAGGCAAGGTATGGAATACCACAGTGTGTTACTACCGACAAAGGACCCTGTTTTGAGTTGTAGGCGTTTCAGACAGTATTGGAAAATTGGAACATCCGGAGATGATACAGGGCACCTACCAACCCCAATCCAAGGGGTGCCTGAACGGTTTAATCGAACAATGAAGACGTGGATAAACTCTACAAAGTTGGTGTGGGTAGTGGCATTGCCTGGGGTTCGTCTCGCGTATAGCGCCAGCAAACAGTTGACCACCAAAGTAGCCCCATTCGAATTACAGGTTGGTAGACAACCAGGAATCCCGCTTGAGACATGCATTACTAATACGCAGGAGTGGGACATCCCAGCAACACATCGCGAACGTTTGGAAGCAACCGGTAGAAGAGAAAGCTAGTCTCAGCGAGCACGGAATAAGCACAACTGTGTTGGAAGGTACGCGGTCCACAAGTGGAGGCCATACAGCGTAGGAGAAAAAGTGATGACACGAAATCACGATGGTACGGAACATGGAAGGACAGGAGCACGGAACTGCAGGGAACGCTGGAAAGTCTCCTGTGCAGTACTTGATCGGAAAGGAGGGAACTTTAAAATTGACAAAGGGGCGCCACAATGGTGGAGGAATGCCGCCTTGCTACGACTGTGACACGCAAGAGGGAAGCAACTTCGAAAACAGGCTGGTGTGTGGAGCCGAAGGCAGTGACTGCCAGGACGGAAAGATCACGAAAACGGCGGTGACCATAAACGGGAACGGACGCCAGGAGGGAGGGCAGGCGGAGTCACGCTGACCTGACGGAACGAGAAGAAATCGGGTCACGAGCGGCGTCCGGTATTGAGTCTGAGGCAGGGGAGGATATTCGTTGAGAACGCAATAAATCAGACAAAGGCGCCTTTATTGCAACCCACCGGACTGACCCCAAGCAGAGGGTTGCTTCCGCGGTCAGGCAAGTCACGAGCTATCGAACGATTCCGGGCTGGTCAGAATATGACGCGTTGAAGCGGCAATACGGGGGTTGAACCTAGCAGGGAATATTTCACCACGAGGTCCCGGAATAGCATGGACATTTCGCGAGCGGAAGGCAGAAGGGCTGGTGCATTGTGGGGATGAAATGTGACTCAGTAATGTGAGCCTACGTGAGTGGTGGCATAGCTGGTGATTGCGACAATAAAAATGGTGCTTCATTGCCGCAGCTTTATTGCTACAATACGACAACAACGTTGAACGAACAGAGGTACTGTAAACGTGGCCACTTATCGCTATTGCAACATTTAACTACGCCACGATTGCCTCAGACTGACAAATGCTGATCAGGTTTTAGAGGTGGGAAGTGAGACGTCCCTGATGTCGTAACGCCAACAGTAACACAGCTCCCATGACAGACGCAACAATCTATCTGATCAACTTATGCAACTTCGAGGGTGAACAGATGACCAGGTATGGATCAGTTCTGAATCAGCACCGATCCCTCAAGTGGCATCTGCAACATGCATCCACCCACGATTAGACATAGCTATCACGGCACCCTGTATATTGGACGCCGTTGCTAGTCCGAATTCTTGCCAGCATTCTTCTATTCAAGGATGGTGGTGAATTTCTGTGCAAAGAAATG